TCGTAGCCTCGGCAATGTCTGGACGGTCCTGCGCAAGGAACGCTGCCCTCATCGTATGAGACCGATATGCTTTCTGAAGTTCGGCATTCAACGGCTGTGCTTCAAGCATCGCTTTCAGGTCACTTCCCTTTTTCTTTTCTGCTGGCGTTTTGGCCGCCTTCGCAGACTCCAGTCCAAGGTCGCGCACTAGGGCTTCCGCGTGCCTTGGATCCGCTTCGTACGTAACAGTTCCTGTCTGGCTGTCATAGCTCACGACCCGGTTCAGGACAGTCATGCTATCCTTTTCACACTCAGGTCCTATGTGGCCATCACACTTGAACTCGTACTCTTCAGACAGTACTTTGTCTACAAAGCGATGTCCATCTTCGTCTGCCAAGACTAGGAAATCATCCCCATGCACCAATAATCTCACGTCGGCTTCGGCATGATAAAAGGTACACGGATATGCTTTTCCCACGACAAACCCGTGCTTGCGTAACAGGCTTGTGTACGATCTCTGCCATACAGCTGAGGCATCACGGGTGCCATACATGGTCCGTTTCAACAGACCACAAAAGCCGGGAGCTTCATCTCCCTCGGGAAGTGTGACAAACACACGTCGTTCTGCTTTTCCATAGAAGTGTGCACGTGATATGTCTGTCAGCTTCAGCGTGAGCTTCTTTCCGCCCTTTGACCTCTTGAGTGTCGTCAGCAGACTGCATAGGATCTTCAATCCTTCCAGAGGTGGCATTGAGGAAAACAGCGCGTAGTCTGGTATCAACGCCGCTTGTCCCTGTGACTTGACCTCGCGGACTACCAAACGACTGCGGTAGTTTTCCCGAACATCATCCCCTTTGTTGCGGTCTACCCACTTCAAGGTTATGGGCGGACGACCTGTTTCGTCCCAACACACGCTCTCTTCGACTTTCTCGTACACACCTTGCTTTTTCACCCAAGCAAGTTCTGACGCTCTTGCTTCCGCAACCTTTCTGGCATCAAGTTGTGCCCCTGTGTTTGCGTCTATGACGGGCTCGCTTACGTGAAGCTGCCCTGCCTTGGGTAAGGTGTCATGGAGATACTCTTCGAGCGGTGGCTCCTCGTGTGGGTCAGGTCCACCCACATGGCCCACCTCCTTCATTTCTCCATCCAGAACCAGTTGTGCTCGCACTCCTGCCAGTAGTGCTCTTTCAAGCTTCGGAGGATACTCGGCCTTGGCCGTCACGATCCCCTCCTTGAAGCTTAGCGTTCGGTTCCATACCTTCGCATTGCCCTTGCATAGCTTTTCCAGCGCTGTTGCAACCGTCGCCGAATTAGTAATCCAGCGGGTTCGCTTCTTGCCGGATTGGCCTGCAATCATTTTTCCACTTTCGTCAACTTTCCACTTGCACATTGGGCCTTCAACCAAGTACGAACCCATCCTTTGAGCAAGTTCATGCTCCCAGGACTTAGTTCCCCTTGGGCACTCATAGAGGAAGTAGTTTCCGGCTTCCTTCTGTGCCTCGAAGGCCTCAAAGCAAAGCCCCAGTTGAGATCGGGCCTTCCTCAAATTTCCGCGTTTGGTCTCGACTCCAATCTTGTTGGTCATGTCGAAAGCACGTTGTACTGACTGGAAGGGTCCAGTGGGCAGCTTGCCCACCAGAAGCTTTGGCTTCACTTGTTCCAGCTTTTCGAAGAAACGCAAATGCTCGGCCTGAGCGAACATCGGCGGCTCTTGGTCCATTGGCAAGATAATGCCTTCATTCACCATGCTCCAGGGCACAGCTGAATTGCCATTACCTCCCAACTGTAGAACCATAGAGTTTATGGCCTTCGCTTCGGTCGGGCTGCACTTGAGCCCCTTTTGTTCGAACATCCGCGTAATCAGGTTCATTCGCACTTCCTCGTTGGCTGGCGGCGGATTCGCCGTTGCTGTGTCGTACATTTCTGCATCTGCTCGTGCTTGTTGGTGTGAGTGGTCCAGGCCGGGTCCTGCAGAGCCACTTGCTCCCCCTTGCACGTGTACTCCAATGACCTCGACATCTGGACCATCGGTAGCCCTCGTGCTGGGCTCTTCCCGGTAAAGGTCCTCGACGGCGCGCTTCCGCTGTTTCGGCTCGGCGCGGTCCTCGACCTCCATTGGTCTGGACAAAGGTGCGCCTGCCGCTTCCTCTGCTGCAACATCCATTGCGTCGGGGGCAGGTCTTCCTTCCAGCGCGGGTTGGTCTCTTTTGACCCGCTTTCCGTAGTCCTTTTCAACTCGCTCTTGGGCCCTTTTCACTCTTTCTTTTCCCTCGTCGGTTTCTTGCAGTCTTCTCTGCACTCTCATCCTGCACTCGTCATTGCGCGCTCGCTGCGGGAGACCCATCAGCTGCGCATCGCATCCCGGACACTGAGGCGTGTAGCCGTACAGCTCAATGTCGGACTTCATGACGCACAGGTTGCGTGCCTTGAAGTCTCGGTGTTGTGGCGCGGGTTGTTCGCCTTCGAGAGCGGGCATACCGACTCGGTTGGGCGACGCTCGCTCTTGTGGACCGGACATCCTCCAAGGCAATCCGCGTAGCACTTCGAAACCTTCAACAGGCCATTTCTCATCCTCGGGCCTCCTGTGCAAGGAGTGGCCCCGGGATATACCCTCGGACGTCATGATCAGCAAGTCTGCGTTCCTCGACGCAGTTCCGACGTAACGTCCCATGCAAACTCTTGCATCTAGGCTTCCTCGCTTGTGTTTCGAACCAACTGGCTTGAACATCACCTGTTCGCCAAAGACAATGGTAGGTCGCCTCCACGGTCGGCCCAGCGTCCTTTCGTAAGCTGACTTCCCGTCTTCGCCAATGCGAAAACGTGTCATCAAGAACGCTGCATGCCTTGCGATCCAGGCGAGAATTGGGTGGTCCACGCCCACCTCGATCTTAAGCTTTGTCTCCAGCTCCGACAGGATAGCTCGGACCATTCGCTTCACCTCTCTCACTGCGGCCTCGGCTATGCCGTTCGATGGCGCATTCTCGTGTTCCGTACTTGTAGGACTCTCTCTCAAGTCGAACACTACATTTTGGACTTCTTCGGAGGCCTTGAGTTTGAGCGCACGGAGGGCGTGTTCATTATCTGAGAATAAGCACATCCTCTTCCATCCGGCCTCGCGTATCACGCTGGCCAACCACGTGACGTTGTACGCATGCGTGCCTTTCTCGGGCAACGAAGTTGCCCAAGTGCGCTGCGTTTTGTCGCACCGAACCACCAGGTGCGGCATCACGTCGTCTTCCTGCTTTCTTTGCCCAGGAAGAAGTAGTCCATGTGTAGCGTCGGCAAAGATGTCTCAAGTTCGGCTCTCCGAATCCGGTAATGTGGATTCACCATCTTTCGCGCTCTCTGGCAGTGGACGCACCAGGAACGGTGCACCGCGTGCCCCGAGGCTTCGTGCTGTGCGATCTGGTCAGCTGTTGGCTGGTCTGGGCTCTTCGGCACTATCGCCCTCTGTTGTTCTTCGCCTGGAGCCTCCGGCTCCTCGGCAAAGCGGTCGTCTTCAGTGCCTCCTTTTTCCTCGCTTGGCTGCTGCTGCTGTTGTTGCTGTTGTGCTGCTGCTGGCACTTGTATGCTTGCGCTTGCTCCTTGTTGTGTCGTTTTCCTCTCTTTCTTCTCTCGCTCTCTCTCTCTTTCTTCTTGTCTTCCTTGGCTAACACCTTGAGCGTTGCCTTTCCGGCGGCTTTCCTTTTTGCCGCTTCCTCAACCATCTCAGCCTCTTCGTCTAGGGGTGAAACGCTAAGCCCGTTGGGCCTTACACCGTCTACGGACGCCCCGTGAAACCCAGGCCGTCTTGGCCCTTGCTTCCGCCCTTCACTCCTTTCTTCTCGTCTTGCAGAGGAAACACGTAGATGCGGTTCTTCACTTGCATCTTGGCTCCGACACCCTTGTGCTTCCAAGCCAACTGGCGCAACGCCTCGTCGGCCTCCTTAGCGAAAGCAGTTCCTTTTGGGACCAGCAAGCCTCCTGTTCCGTGCAGAAACGCAAAATGCGTCTTGCACGCCTGTGCTCCTGACAGGAGTATGCGGTGGACCCCGGCGCCTCGGCCGGTGATCGTGGCCCCACGGCCTCCCGACAAAGTGCCGGTGACCTCGGCTTTTCCTTGGTCTTTCAGCGCCTCACCTGACGCCGTCTTGTAGCGGACGCCGTTGTCCTTTGGCTGCGTCACGTACTTCTCAGGCAGAACGGTCACGGCCGCTCCCGTGTCAAAGTTGACCTCGACGCTAGCCACGCCTGGCGAAGCGCCCAGGCTGGCAGCATCCACGGTCTCGAAGCTGTGCACCGATTGGCGCACGCCTCCTTCGCCCGGGTCCTCCGGGTCTTCTCCTCTTGGGTCGCGGCGGTCGTCGTAGTCTTCACAGTGCACAGTCTCTTCGTCGTCGTCTTCGCTTTTCTTGACCTTCTTCTTTCCTTTGTGCTCTGGATCCCAGGTCGACCCAAGCTTCCTCTTCAGCTTGTTGCGCCTTTGGTTTCTCTTTTGGTTCCTCTTCTTCTTCTGCTCGGCCGCAATCGACGGGTCCGCCGAGTAGCGCCCGGTCGCCTTCGGCCTTTCCTGCTTTTCGAGCTCCTTCCGGTAGAGCTCCTCCTCGTCGTCGGCATCCACGCGGTGGCTCGTCCTTTCGGCTTTCGTGAGAGGGCGGTAGTCCTTTCGCCGCTCGGGCTTGGCCTCCGTCCCATCGCTGTGGATAACCTCCGTGTCGATGCCGTCGACCTCTTCCTTCTGGTTATCGCGGAAGTCGCCCTTTTTCACTTTCACGTCGTGCCGGGCGTGCCACTTCTTGTCGGCCTCGATCCTCTCCTTTGCTCTTTCGCCCACACCGCTGCGTCTGTGCTCTTGCGCTCTCCTTCGTCCCTTTTCCGCACGCCAAGCCTTCCAGTGGCTGTCTCCCTTTTCCACTTGGCGTTTGTAGCGCACGTCGTGCACCGACTGGTCTCTGCGGTGTTCGGGTTCCTTTTTCTTCACGCCCGCTTGCTGCGCCCTGAGGCGCTCACGCTCCTCTTTCAGGCGCTTCCGCTCGTCTTCCAGGCTCGCGATCTCGGCTTCCAGCTCTGGGTCACTGCCGCGTCCCTCGAGCTTCTCTCTCTTTGTCGCGATCCTCTGGTCCAAGACCGCGAGGTTCGCACGGTTGGTCTCCATAAGACCCGACGCCAGCATCCTCTGCATGCTGCTCGAGGTGCTTGCCGTGATCGCGGTTGCTCCTTCGGTTCCTTCTTCCTGCTTTGGTGGCTTCTTCTTTTCTTCCTTCTTGGGTTCCTCGGGCCCCTCGCTTGGAGGGTCATCCTCGAAGTCGCTTTCGTCCTCGGAGCTCTCCGGCTCCAAGGAAAACTTGTCTTCTTCTTCTTTTTCTTCACCAGCGGCTTCTTCCTCCCTTTGCTTCACCTTCTCGGCTACCTTTGCGCTCCTCAGTTCAGCCTTGCTGGGCCTGTCGGCCCTCACAAGCTTTTCTCTTTCGAAAACTTTCCTGGCGTAGTGGGAGCCCGCTGCTTTTGCAGCTGCTGCCTTGTACTCTTTCATCCTCTTCTTCAGCAGAAGGGACGCTTTGCTCCTGAACTTTAGTCGCCTCGACACGCAGGTGGAGCAGGCCTCGCCTTGCTTCTTCAGTAAGGACTCCCCGACGGTGCCTCTGGGCTTCTTGTCTCGTATGGCATCTTGGTGGGCCACACGTTCCCTGAAGCGCATTCCTGCCCAAGACGCCGGACTCCTTAGAAGCTTTGGCTTTGCCTTCGCCACAGGTCTTTGGCTCCTTGAGGCTCCCCACTTCGGCGCTGTGGTAGCAAGTTGTCTCTCCACCTCTTCGCTTCTTGGCTGCACTTCTTCACTTCTAGGTGGAGGCTTCGAAGGTGGTGACTTTGGTTCTGTTCTCTTCGGCTCTACCTTTGGCTTCGAAGGTGGTGACTTTGGCTCTGTTCTCTTTGGCTCTACCTTCGGCTTGAGAAGCGGACTTTTGGTCCTAGAAGGCGGTGGTGACTTCGGCGGTGTTCTCGGCCTTTCTTGCTTCGCCTTTGGAGGGGTCTTGGGCTCAGGCACTGGTGGCTCCCGGTAGCGCGAAACGCGCTTCCAGGGTGCCGTGTCCAAAGCCTTAGACCTCACCTCCTTCTTCTCCTCTTTCTTTCCGGCCTTTGGCTCGCGCACTCTCTCCGGAGGTCCTCGCGACGAAGACGAAAACGCTCCGAAGCTGGACTGCCCTGGCACCTCGCCGCGGGAACGTCTCTTCCTTCAGGTCTTGGAACTGACCCCTTGCTCTGTCCATTTGCTCTTCCAGAGCTTCCAGCTCCTTTTCATCCTCGTCTTTTTCCTCCTTTGGAGGAACCTTCCTTTTCGGGTTCTTTGGCGCCATGGCCCCAAGCACGGTCGGGCCGGAGCCCTCTTCCCTACTTGAGCCACGACTGCCGGGGTCTGGCTTCGACTCTTTCTCCTTCTTCTCTTTCTCTCTCTTCGGGCTCTCTCTTTCTAACGCTCCCACGTAGAGGTTGTTTGTTTCTGCTTCCTCCCAACCGTCCTCCCAGGTTTCTCCCCAGTCTCCGTCTTCCCAGCCTTCATCCTCTTCTCCTTCCTGCCAGTTCTCGTCCTGGTTTCCTTCTCCTGTGTTCTCTCCTCCTTCTTCTATGTTTCCTACGTGTTTCTTGTTCTTACCACCTTTCTTGCCTTTTCCCTTTTTTGCCTTTTCCTTTCTTACCTTTTCCTTTGTCCTTTCCTCCTTTGGGGCTCCCTCTTCCTCCTTTGCTGCTTGGTTTTCCTCCTTGTTGCCCTGGACCTTTGGGTGAGCCCCGTTGCTGCTGCGAACCTTTGCCTCCATTGCTCCAGCAGTCGCGGGCATAGTGTCCGCTCCTGCCGCAGTTGTGGCACACGACCTTGCTTGCTCCTTTTCCTTTGCCTTTCTCCACATACGACAGGTCCATAGGATCATCCTTGCTCGCCGCACTGGCTGCGGCTGCAGAAATCACCTTCAGACTCTTTCCTGTCTTGTACTCGATGAAGCGAGTCACCTCGTCGAGCACGTCGTCGTACGTGGAGAACCGGCTCTGGTTCAACTGGATGTGAGACTCCAGCTCCTGTGGCAACATTGCCTCCAGTGCTGCCATCTTTATCTCATCAGCCAGGGTCGTTCGTCGCCCTGTGCTGTCCTTGCGCTTCTCGTAAGTGCGCACAGCGTCGGCCCATTCTTCGATGGCCTGAGGGAGATTCTCCAGCTTCTGCTTCTGGGGCGATATAATCGCTCTCAACATCGTGCGCTTCCTGCTTGCAGTCGCAGGATCGTATCGCCTCGCAAGGCGTCTCCATGCCTCGAACCCGTTGTTCTGGCAATTGCACACGATCGTAAATGGTTCCTTCGAGGTAACCATTTGGAGCGCGTTCGCGAGCTCCCTCGACTTTTCTTGCAGTCTGGGAACTCGATCCGCCTCCAACGCCTTTTCTCCAAAGGCTGTGTCCAACTCCTCCGAGGAGAATGGCTTCTCCCTCTCTTCGAGCCACTCTAGAACTTCTTGCAGATCATGGTGGATCGAACAAACGTAGCTCGACATTCGATGCCTCCATGGTAGGAACTGTTCACTCTCACCTGAGAAGGTCGTCGGCTTTCCCAGGCCCTTTGTGTCGACCAAACAGAGCTTCTCGTTTGGTCCTCCTTTCTTTGCCATGGCCTCAACCAGTTCCTTGTTCGACTTGACCATGTCGCTCACCAACTGTGGCATCGTGCCCATCTGAGCCGTCGCCTGCTGCACTGCCGTATGCGCCTGTGCTCGCACTTCCGCAACTTGAGCTGCACTCTCTTGCCGCACTCGCTCAAGTGCTGTGCTTTGCTCGGCCCTTAGCCGATCATTCTCTTCGCGTTGCCTTGTGAGTTCGTTTCTCAGATTCACAAGCTCCTGCATGCGCTGCAGTCACTTGCGCCTGTTGCTGTTCCTGGCTGCTCATCGCAGACGATTAGCCAGCCGACGGCGGAACTCGCTGCTTTGGACGAAAGTCTGGAGATGCTGGCCCAGGAGGCCCCAAATCCTTTGCAGTCGCCTAATCCGATAGAGTAAACGGATCAAGCGTTCCCAGCGGTGCACAGCGGGAGCTTGCACCACAGCAAAACCTTCGTTGTCACTTTCAGCACTTTCGTCAGCAAGGTCGCGTCTGCTGTCCATTCAAACCGACAGCTCCGCTACCATGAACGGAGTTTAAGGCAGAACTAACACTGCAGGTGCAATCACTTTTGACGGCTTGAGCCAATGTCGCATGTGTATGCTCACTCATTGTGAAACATGTTGTGTGACACCTACAAATCTAAACAGGTTTAGGGTTTAGGGTTTAGGGTTTAGGGTTTAGGGTTTAGGGTGTAGGGTTTAGGGTTTAGGGTTTAGGGTTTAGGGTTTAGGGTTCAGCCCTGGGTTGGGCCCGAAACAGCTTAAAGTGCAAATTGAAGAAGAAGTCTCCATATCGCCCCTGGGGTCTTTCAAACAGTCTTGGGAGGCCTCCTAAACCCACCAAACCCTTAAACCCGAAACCCTACACCCTTAAGCCCTAAACCCTAAACCGTAAACCCTAAACCCTAACCCCTAAACCCTAAACCCTAAACCCTAAACCCTAAACCCTAAACCGCATCACAGGGAAGCCCTGAACCCTCCCCCCCTGGCCCTGGGGGCCACGACCCTGCACATCTTTGGCGAGGTCTGCGGGCCTGCACGGCGGTTTAGGGTTTAGAGTTCAGGGTTTAGGGTCTAGGGTCTAGGGTTTAGGGTTTAGGGTTTAGGGTTTAGGCTCTGCTGACTCGGAAGATGTTGCCGAGGGTCTCTAGGGTTTAGGGTCTAGGGTCTAGGGTTTATTTAGGGTCTAGGGTTTAGGGTTCAGGGTTTTGGGAAGGCTCTGCGGACTCGGAAGATGTTGCCGAGGGTCTCTAGGGTTTACGGTTTAGGGTTTAGGGTTTAGGGTTTGGGGATTAAGGAACGAAAAGCCTTTGAAGGCCTGCAAAGACGTACTCACAGAGCTGAGCCGGCAACCCGGCACAAGAGTTTGGGCCTCAGGGGGTGGTTGAGGTTTCTGGGATATCGGGAATCCCAACAGACTCTGAAGGTCCCTACTAAACCTTTGTGGCCCTAAACCCAGCTCCAGACCTCACCCTAAACCCTAACCCCAAAGCCCTGAAATCTGAAGCCTAAGCCCTAAACCCTAGCCCTAAACCCTAAACCCTGAACATTCTCAAGACTCAGGCCCTAGCAGTGGCAGAACGATGGCGCGCCCTCGCTGGTTGAGACGAACCTGGTGTTTAGGGATTTTATCGGCTTTTGGGGGGGGGTGTTGCTTAGGAGCGGAGGAACTTTGCTGGGCCTAAGCCCTAAACCCTAAACCCTAAACCCTAAACCCTAAACCCTAAACCCTAAACCCTAACCCTTAACCCTAAACCCTAAACCCTAGCCCTAAACCCTAAACCCTGAACCCTGAACCCTAAACCCTAAACCCTAATTCTTAAGGCGCCCTAGACTCGCAGCCCCTTCCCCAGGTACTGTGAGGAGGCCTCCGTAGAAACCAGGTTGAGGGCATTTCGAGGAGATGGAGGAGTTGAAGGAGTTGAAGGGGGCCATCTACCAGGGTTTAGGGTTGAGGGTTTAGGGTTTAGGGCTTAGGGCTTGGGACTTTGGGTTTTGAGGTTTGGGGTTCGGGCGCATCTTCTGCTCGAACATGAGAGAGTTCTCACAATCCACATGCTCAAGCAACCAACGGGCCTCGCTGGCGCCAACGTCCACAGCTACATCCTGCAGATGGGAAGATATCCAAAACCCTAAACCCTAAACCCTAAACCCTAAACCCTAAACCCTAAACCCTAAACCCTAAACCCTAAACCAAAGGTTTCGGGTTTAGAGTCTAAGTTAAGGGCTGACCCACACTGCGCAGGACAGGAAGGACAGTCGATGCGCTCCACCTGAAGTTAAACCCTGCAAACGCTTGCTCTAGGGGCCTTAGAAACTAGAATAGGGTTCTGGGGGGTTAAGTCTAGTATACTCATTTAGGGACCAGAAGACAATACTACTAGTAATCCTTCCGACCCCTAGATTCAGCACGAAATCCTGGGCCCCCCCGGAGGCTCTGCCTCCAGCGACGGAAGAGATATCCAGAGGCGCAGCTCTCCGTCACCTTCTCTACTGTTTGCTTACGAACCCCCAAAAAAACACAAAAGACAGTGATCCCTGTATTGCTCTCGGATAAGGAAGCATATTATATGTTCTTGGTGGGGGTTCTTAAACAAATAGTAGTGTTGAGAAGCGCTTTGGGGCTTGGGTATAGGAGTTCGGGTTTAGGCGTTTAGGGGTTTCAGGGTCTTCGGCGTTCGGGTTTCTTCAGGGTTTTAGGTTTAAGGGTTTATGGGTTTTAGGGTTTTAGGGTTTTAGGGTTTTAGGGTTTAGGGCTTATTCAGCGTTTAGGGTGCACAATTAGTGTTAAGTTTGCCGTGGCTCTTCATCGCCAACCGGCAACCCGAACAAACATTTCCTGCAATCGAGTCTGTCCCTTAAAGCCCTAACGGGTCCAGGGTTTAGGTTCAGTGCTTAGGGTTCCCGGTTGAGGCTTCAGGGTCAGGGTTTAGGGCACTAACCTAGGCTCTCGTTTTCTGCCTCAGACCCAGAAGAGCCCAGAAACCTACCTCACCCAGAAAAAAAGTATATACTTTTTAGGTATACGTAGCTATAATGGGAACCCAAAACCAAAAACAGTATTAATAATATTAAAGTATAGTACTCCAAAGCCCAGGAAAGGGCCGGGGACTGACTAACGAGGGGTTCAGGGCTTGCGCGAATGCTGTGGATTGAGACCCTAAACCCTAAACCCTAAACCCTAAACCCTAAACCCTAAACCCTAAACCCTAAACCCTAAACCCTAAACCCAAACCCTAAGCCCCATGAATTGCTAGCGCCTTGTTCGAAACCATGGGCCGGCAGAAGATCATCCACCGCCATGTTGGCAAACGCGGTGAGAGCTCAAGGAATGGCTGGGAGTTTCGGGTTTAGGGCTAGGGTTTAGGGTTTAGGGTTTAGGGTTTAGGGTTTAGGGTTTAGGGTTTAGGGTTTAGGGTTTAGGGTTTAGGGTTTAGGGTTTAGGGTTTAGGGTTTAGGGTTTAGGGTTTAGGGTTTAGGGTTTAGGGTCTACAGATCCTTAAGTTAAAGACGAGCTACATGTGCATGACGCCGACATGGTGCTCACTGCTTCGCGCGTTTGGCTTACTTTGGTTTAGGATATTAAGGTTCTGTCGAGGGTCTCTGACTCAGGGCTTAGAATACAGTTGCAGGTTCTAGAATTGCAGAATCGTCCCGTGGGCAGGGTGGCAGTACGTCTTCTTGTCCACTCAGTGCTAACTCTGAAATCAAGCACTCCACACATTGCTAAGAGTCAGTAAGCTTTCCCTAAGCCCTAAACCCTAAACCCTGAACCCTAAACCCTAAACCCCTAAACCCCGAAACCCTAAACTCCAAACCCCCCATATGGTTTCTGTCGGGAGGCGCCCTCAGCGAATGCCCGGAACCTGATGTGGAGCTCATCGACCGTGGCTGCTTGGATGTCCTGGCTGGGTCTGTGGTCTGAACCCCCCCCTACTAACCCTAAACCCTAAACCCTAAACCCCAAACCCTAAACCCTAAACCCCAAACCCTTAACCTCAACGTCTAGTCCCAACCTTCTGGTACTAGGAGTGTGCTTGAATCGCCTCATCGCGTGTGAAGTCATGCTGCAGAGCGTGAAGTCACATCAGGCGTGAAGTCACATCACCAGCACGCGATTTCGAGGCCCCAACACCAGTATCATGTCAGCAACTGCTTGCAAACAGGATTTCGACGCCCACGCTTAACGAAAACTGCGCCTCCGACCTCATCTAGGGGGGGGGGGCTCTATTGTGTTTTCGAGCGAACCCTGAGCAAACAAAACCCGACATCCGGATTTCGACACCTGGGTTTCTGGGCCGAGCGGGTTTTATCTGGGGCCTGGCCATGGTCAGGCTGACCGAGCCCATGAGCAAGGGACTGATCGAAAACTGAACCTCGCACGAATCGACAAATGGGGAAACTATCACAGCCGCCCATGGTCATGCGCCGGCGAAACGAGACCACATCACACACACACACACACACACACACAAAATAAACATATTTATATACATACATATATACATATTTTTACTTCAATGCTTAGCACACGCTAGCCCCTGCGTTGCACGCAACTTCCCTGCCTGCAAGGCGAGAACGTACATCGACAACCAGCAAATCCCCATCATTCTCCATCAATCAAGTAGTATTCTTTAGAGCCCCAGAGCATAGCTAGGCCGTAGGCTTGTAAGGGAACCCGGCTGGGAATGCATATCCATTCACGCGCCGGCAATGCGACTTTATGCAAGCAGATGCGACTTTAAACCCATCCCTAGTATCGTACTGATGGAGTGATGGTGTCGTGTCATTCAGAGTCGTTCACGGTCGAAGTGCTGAAAAAACTCATGCGGGTTTGTTCTAAAATGGGGGGGCGACGGGTGTTGGGATCAGGGTATGCTTCGCGGGTATGTTTCGGGGTATGTTTCGGGATGTGTTTCGGGGGTAATGTTTCGGGGGATGTTTCGCGGCATCATGAGCTACTTTAGATGCAAGTTCGGGGGCATGTTTCGCAGGGTTTTTTTCGGGGTATGTTCGCGGAATCATGAGCTACTTTAGATGCACTTTCGGGGGCAGGTTTCGCAGGTATGTTTCGGGATATGTTTCGGGGTATGTTTCCAAGTATGTTTCGCGGGTGTGCAACCCGTGTGCGCTTGTTAAACCTGTGCCCCCCAAACACGAACAAATCCATGTGGACCGACATCCAATCAAGCACGTCCTCTTTGTACTCTTCCAGTAGGCGATCAAGCATACTCACGAGCAAGTCCGCGACAGCTGTGCAGACGTTGCGTCCTCGGAACGAGAGGTGCGCTGCACACTGCGGAGACTCTCTGTCACCCTTGCAAAGGATGAGCAATGCCTGCGGACTCCATTGTGCAACGAGATCCAGGTATGTTCTTGAGGCTCGCGGAGATGATTGCGGAAAGCAGGGAAGGCTCTGCAAGTAGACATAAGCCGTCATACATCATAATACGATGGTTTTAGCGCGTCCTTGGGGGCTTGGACATCTGCTCGAACATGGAAGGTCCCCCACGTCTTATTCAGCCCTCAAGGACGCTTCAACAACCCCTTGACATGTTACAGCGCATAAAAAAAGAGCAGCGCTCACATATCCAACGGGAAGTGAAGTTGGATGCTCAGGGATTTGAATCCTAAACCCTAAACCCTAAACCCCAAACCCCCCGGGGGCGTGCCTGGCTTGAAGCTGCCGAGCACGTCGAGGAAGATTTTCCCGACTGCTGAGTCGCCCAACATGTTCTCCAACATGTTCGTGATCCTGGACGTGGCCTGGGATTCTACTCCCCTTAGGACCTTAGCAATAAAAAAACAATCATCATCATCATAATCATAACCATAATATGTTTAACATCCTCTTGGGCTTTATATAAACAAAAATAAATCATAATCCCAAGGGGGATATGGGGGAGGGGTTGGCGTTAACATGCGAAAGATATATGCAGGGGGTCGCCCTAAACAGGGCGCATGCCACAAGGCTCGTTTTACGGGCTCCGTGCAGGAATTCCCCAAACTTGCAACTGTTGGAAACCCCTACTGTTGCCCGACCTTGCAATATCATGCTCTAAACATGACTCCTTCCTCCAACAACCAGGTAAGGCGCGGCGTTTGGGGTCAGAACAACCCAGCTTGGTAGCCCTGGAAATCCATACGCCCTGAGCTCATAAGATATGACAGAGGGACCGGACGAATGCTGCGACAAGGACACGCCAACACGCCAGTACATAAAAACACACACTACGACACGGCAACCCAAGCCCCCCAGCTCTGTTACAAAAAGGAAGCTCCTTCTGCTACACATTCGGAGAATGCTGCAAGGGAGAAGGGTGCAAGGCCTCATTGAGAACGGAGTTCTTGACATTGTCCACCTGTGACCAATGGCGGACCCCCAAACTCTCTAAATCAGCCCTTCTTAGAGCTGAACTCAGTTCACTTCGATCACACTTCTGTCCCAAGCTGCCTGCCCGAAGAACCAGTCCTTCATCGCGTCCTTGGCCTGCTTCACTAGCTCCGGGCCTGCCAGGTCCTTCACGAAGTCCATGCCCGGAATCTTGACCTTCTTCTTGTCCTTCTTCTTCTTGTCCTTCTTGTCCTTCTTATCCTTCTTCTTCTTGTCCTTCTTCTCCTTCTCCCGCTTCTTGTGCTCGGCCTTTGAGACTCCTCTGCGCCGACGGCTGAGGCTGGTCGCGAGGGTGCTGAGGGCATGCTCCGAATGCCCCGCAGGATGCTCCTGGCCCAGGGCCTGAAGAGTCCTCCTCGCAAGCTGGATGTCTTTCCGGTCGATCCCCTGAGGTCGCTCGCGCCTTGAAAGGAGAGAGCGGCCACGCGAGACGTGCGGCGACATGCTCAGGAGGGCTGTTTTCGAAGGAGACGCGCTCTTCGCAGCCTCCAGCTCCTTGCAGGTCCCTGGGTCGCCACGGTCCTCAGGCAACATCCGGGGCATATATGGGCATATATGGGCACAATTGCACGATTTAAGAGCCCTAAACATCCCTTCTTCCTTCTTCCCACAGTCCTCCGGCATGACGCTGGGATTGAAAGCTGCCTGGTGGGAACAGGATGACCCTGCCGATGGGTCAAGCTCGCACTTGCCGGTATCCGACATGATGAAGCACTCAGGACACCCATCCAAGCACACGGACCTTCGCGAGACATCGTTTAGGCTTCTTGATGGTTCTTTGGGTGCAAGTGCCACGGCAATAACAGCAATCATACCAGTCCCGATCACAACAGTAGTAAAAAGCCAATCAATCAAATCATCACTTTCCCCTCCCAGGAAGGGCCTCCCCGAGACGTCGATGTGCAGCTGCTTGTCAAGTGGGCAGGCCAAGCAGTCGTCGGGGCGAGGCCCCAGGCAAGCATCACATCCGGCGCACTTGTTGCAAGCAGCCGTGGCCGTGGAGGTGCTTTTGTCCACATCCATGCGAAACATGTAATACCCCTGGGGGCACTGGGGCCCTGGTTGGCCACGCTCCTGACGGCTGAGTACCGTCCTGTCCTGATCGAAGCGCTCGTCTTGCCGAATGCTCACGAGCTGAGACTTCACCGCCTGGGGAATTCCCGCGATCAGGTCATCCAGATCGCTGGCTGCATGCCTGCTGAGCCCCACAAGCATTCCTGGAGAGCTTGGAGCCCTCTGAACGGTCATCTCCTGAGGGGGGGTGGGGGGTTGTTAGGGCATTTCCTTAGGGGGCTATTCTGAAAAGTTTGGGTATGCAGGTCGGTAGATCATACTTGCGCTTTCTGTTACACCGTATCTGATTATATTTACAAGTATATTCTACTACCAGTATCTCATATTACAAGTCCATTATATTGCAAGTACATTATACGATACAGCTGGGGGCGCAGTTGCTCCTCCTCCAAGAGGACTACGACGGGGTCCTTCTTTGCCTTTGGGGCCTTCGGCCGCAAGTTGCCTGAGTTCCGTTGGGCAGCACGCGCACCGAAAATATCCTAAACCCTAAACCCCAAACCCTAAACCCTAAACCTCAAACCCTAAACCCTAAACCCTAAACCCCAAACCCTAAACCCTCAAACCTCATGAGCCCAGTGACACATCGGAGCCAGCTTCGGGCACGGAGCTCCCTGGCAGAAGCGCTCGCTCCGGAGCGCAGCGGGATCTGCCTGGGGAGATTAGGGTAAACAGGGCTTGGGGCTTAGGGTGTAGGGTTTCGGGCTACTCTACAGGTCTTGAAAAAGAATTTGAATACGGTTTGTGTTTGTATCAAAAATTAGAATACGGTTTGTGTGTGTTGTGTGTGTGTGTGTGTGTTTTTTTTTGGGGGGGGGGGGGGGTATTGTAGTATAAGTCTACAGGGGCCAGGGAATACTGCTAATTACTCATTATTCCGACCCCTGTAGTAGGGCTTGGGGTGTTTTAGGAGTTTGGGATTTTCCCCTAAACCCTAAACCCTAAACCCTAAACCCTAAACCCTAAACCCTAAACCCTAAACCCTAAACCCTAAACCCTAAACCCTAAACCCTAAACCCTAAACCCTCATAAGATCGCTACCCTGACCCAGGGCAAGGGGCTCAGGCAATCGGCCCGGGCTCATGCAGAAAAGTCTTGGGGTGTAGGTTGGGATGTTCCCCCTTTATGCTAACAGTCCTGAATAGGGATTATAGTAGCCCCTCTGATATTCCCTGTTAAGGACCCTTCATAGGGATTATAATGCCCCTATTATATCCCCTACTAGGAGCTGTTAGAATAAGGGTCCCAAGGTGTAGGCGGTATCCCTAAACCCTATTATAAACCCTAAACCCTCAACCCTAAATCCTAAACCCTAAACCCTAAACCCTGGGGGCCGAGATGCTTTGTACTTCTTCCGGCAGCTTGCAGCATCTGCGGGGGTGGCGGCGCCCCGGGAACGTTGCTGGGTGCCGAGGCCACAGGACCTGGATCGTTAAGGGTTGGGATGGATTCAGGGTTTAGGGTTTAGGGATTAGGGTTTAGGGTTTAGGGCTTGGGGTTTAGGGTTTAGGGCTTAGGGCTTGGGGTTTAGGGATGTTCCCCCTTATACCTAACAGCTCCCTTAATGGGGATTCTCGTAACCCCCTACTCTATTCCCTAAAAAGGGAGCTGTTGGTATCAGGGGGAACATCCCGAGTTAAGGGCTTTCCGCGTCCAAAGTCTCATCAGGACTTTTTGTGTCCCTGAAGTCTGAGATGACATTCGTGGACTCCATGCGGAACCCACAAACAAGGGGGGTTTAGGGTTTGGGGTTTAGGGTTTTAGGAGTTTAGGGTTCGATCACCCGAAACATCGCAGATGGAAGATGCCTCAAGACATCCCTCAAAACGCCCCCCCCCCCCCCCCCCAAAAAAAAAAAAAAAAAAGAAGACATCAAAAGCGCCTGAATGAACCCTAATCTCTCGCCCCCCTCAAGGCTCCCGAAGTCAGGTGACACAGAGCAGGGGGACCATGGTCCCCAGTCTGAGAGGACGCAGTTCCCTGGCTCCTAGAGTCAAGGAGATTTGATATTAAAGGTCTTTGGAGGGGTTTTTAGGGTTCAGGGGGTCTTTGGAGGGTTTAGAGGGTTTAGGGGGTTTAGAGGGACAGGTTTTCGAGACTTTTGGACGGGGAGGGGGGGTTTGGGGTGGGGGGGGGCCAAATGGCCTCGTCTTTCCTAGAAGGTTCCACCCTAAACCCAAACCCTAAACCCTCAACCTGGAACCCTCTTAACATGGCTTGAGAAACCGGTGTCTCCTTAGGCACCCAATAGCAGTCTCCCTCGCCGTAGCACGTCTCGAAGGATACGTGCGCCGCGCATTCCAAGCTCTTGTTTGCCTGGCTTTAGGGCTTTAGGGCTTGGGGTTTAGGGTTTGGGGTTTGGGGTTTGGGGTTTGGGGTTTAGGGCTCTCTTGTTTGCCTGGGGCATGGCTTGGGGTCTCTTGGCTGGCGGCGTATCCGTGATTTGGGGTAGGCTTTTGTGGGGTCGGAATAATTTGGGGAAGAATTGTTGATAGGCCTTGATATTTTGTGCCCTAATAACCCCCCAAAAACGAAACCCTAAGCCCTAAGCCCTAAGCCCTAAGCCCTAAGCCCTAAGCCCTAAGCCCTAAGCCCTAAGCCCTAAGCCCTAAGCCCTAAGCCCTAAGCCCTAAGCCCTAAGCCTTAAGCCCCAAGCACAGAGAGCCGTGAAGGGTGTATAAGGTTGTACCCTGAAGCCTCCCCTAAGCCCTAAGCCCTAAGCCCTAAGCCCTAAGCCCTAAGCCCTAAGCCCTAAGCCCTAAGCCCTAAGCCCTAAGCCCTAAGCCCTAAGCCCTAGCCCTAAGCCCTAAGCCCTAAGCCCTAAGCCCTAAGCCCTAAGCCCTAAGCCCTAAGCCCTAAGCCCTAAGCCCTAAGCCCTAAGCCCTAAGCCCTAAGCCCTAAGCCCTAAGCCCTAAGCCCTAAGCCCTAAGCCCTAAGCCCTAAGCCCTAAGCCCTAAGCCCTAAGCCCTAAGCCCTAAGCCCTAAGCCCTAAGCCCTAAGCCCTAAGCCCTAAGCCCTAAGCCCTAAGCCCTAAGCCCTAAGGCATGCACCTCAACCCTAGATAGGCCCTTTCGTAACCTGTCACTCTCGGGCTTAAGCGCCCACTGCCAAGTCCAAAAGAACACTGAAAACCTATAACCTATGGGGGGGGGGGGGTCGGAATGAATAGTGCTAGTATTCCCTTATTACGGCCCCTTTGTAATTCTACGAGGAGTAACCCCCCCCCCCCCCCAAAAAAAAAAAAAAAAGCTAATGACTAAGGCCCCTGTATGTGAAACCACCCTCGGGGCCTTCAGGGGCTTGGTCTGGACCCAAGCGCTTGGAACCACCTGCTCGGTGAAAGCGAAGTCGGGTCCCACCCACTCGGGCGGCAGGTCCTGCTTTGAGGAATGCTGTTCTGGAAGCCCTAAACCCTAAACACCCTAAACCCTTTACAAAAACAATATGAGATGTATATATATATATGTATATATATATATATATATCCTAAACCCGAAACCCTAAACCCTAAACCCGTTGCTTTGAGAGGTGTGGAGAGTTCAGAAGCATCGGCGAACGGAAAAAGAAATTGCAATGCTAAAGGGAAGAGCCAGCTTGAACGGATCCCACTCACCCTTTGGGGCATCAAGCCGTGCTTTGCGTGCCTTTGTCAGGGTTTAGGGTTTAGGGTCTAGGGTCTAGGTTTTGGGGTTTAGGGTTTATGGCCGGCGTGTGATTTCGCCCTCTACTCGCAAACTGAGTCCGAGGCAGCTCTTCGCATATTCCCCCTATTAGTTCAGTTCGCTCTGTGGGTCTGAATCCGAAGATCCCTAAACCCTAGACCCTAAACTTTACTATCAGGATGTTGCATCGGATGTTGGGTCCTGCACCCCGAAAGCCGCTTTGTCAAAAGCGATTTGGAGATGACCGCTCGCCTGTCCGGAAGGACATTGAACTGAAAGATCTGCTAGGGTTTAGGGTTAAGGGTTTAGGGTTTAGGGGCTAGGGGGCAGGGGTTGGGGTTTGCGTTTTAGGGTTTAGGGTTTAGGGCTTAGGGGCTCTTACTTGCTTCTGACAAATCCAGGCTTCTCTCGCCGGCGCTCTCTTGCTTTGTGGGCTTGGAATGCAATGATGGCGCAGAACATTTTTCCAGTTCGGTCCACTCAGGCCGGCGTGGCCGGGTTTCTACGGCTGTTTGCTGGCGTCCCGAACCCTAAACTTCCCTAAGCCCCAAACCCTAAATATCCTAAACCCTAAGCCCTAAACCCTACACGCTACACCCGAAACCCTAAACTCTAAACCCTACCCTAAACCCGAAACCCCAAACCCTAAACCCCAAACCTGCCGGAACTCAAACAGCGGAGTCTCCTGCCTGGGCAGCCTTCACCGTCCCTGGGAAGGCTTTCTTGGATTTTGTCCTCGGTGTTATGGACTTTAGGGTTTAGGGGTTTAGGGCTTAGGGCTTAGGGTTTAGGGTTTAGGGTCTAGGGTCTAGGGTCTAGGGTTTAGGGTCTAGGGTCTAGGGTCTAGGGTCTAGGGTCTAGGGTCTAGGGTCTAGGGTCTAGGGTCTAGGGTCTAGGGTCTAGGGGGGTTAGGGTTTAGGGTCTAGGGTAGGGTTTAGGGTTTAGGGTTAGGGTAGGGTTTAGGGTTTAGGGTTTAGGGTTTAGGGTTTAGGGTTTAGGGTTTAGGGTTTAGGGTTTAGGGTTTAGGGTTTAGGGTTTAGGGTTTAGGGTTTACGGTTTACGGTTTAGGGTTTTGGGGGGGCGTGTCAGGCTGCTCTCTCTGAGAAGAGGAGTAGAGTAGGGTGAGTAGAGTTTCAGCTGTGGCGAAAAGCTCCGCGTTGGGTGCAGTCCAGAAAACATCATGAAGCAACCACACCGTCTCCCCTCTGTTCCTAAACCCTAAACCCTAAACCCTAAACCCCTAAACAGGCCTGAACCTGCCAGGGCTCTGCATGGTGGAGTCCATGGGCACATGGGCAGCCACGCGGTCCCCGACGGAGGGCTTGAACAGGCTCTTCTCAGCCCAGCCCAACAGCCTCACGACATGAGTACGGTAACCCAGAGACTCAATTTAGGGGTTAGGGGTTAGGGTTTAGGGTTTAAGGTTTCGGGTTCAGGGTTTGGAGTTTCTAAACAAGGACTGCAATTCAGAGTGCCAAGAAGCTTGATGTTCACCGCGCCCTTCCCCGCGTCACCGACCACGGTTGCGTCTGCTGAACTTGGGCTCTTCAACCTCTTGAAGTGCTTCGTGAGCCAGAAGCTTGTGACGACTTCCTGGCCCCTTCCATATCTTGGCTCAGGGGAGATGGCCTTGCAGCAGGTGCTGCACTGCTCCGTGAAGCTGCCACTTCCCCTCTGGCGTTTTGTGGCCTGTGTCACCGTCTCGCCGAGAAGGGACGAGCTGGTGGCATTCACGCTGGAAAGCTCCGTCTGTGGCAGTTTGAAGCCTCTGACCGGAGACACGGATGCCTGGATGAGAAAGAACCAGGCAAACAAATTGCTGCATACGTAGGGAAGCAAGGGAAGCATGATGCACTCGTGAGTCCGCAGGACAAACTCCTGTGGCTCGCGAAGACTTCCCAAGCATCTAGAATCTACAATAGACGGAGAGGCTCTGAAAGGCCAATGCCTTGAGCCTGACACAAAAAGCAGAGGAAGCTCTTGCTCCTGTCAAACTTCACTGTGACGCCCTGCAACTATAGTTCGTGGCCTTTCCTACTAGCCTGTGCAGTGCTTGTGCTTCATGGACTTCAGTCCGACTGAGTCTGATGTCCAAGGTATAGGAATAGATCGTTGCTGCAAGGATCTAACTTGCAACTGCTTGCCATGTGAGCTGATGCTTGCCTACAGCTTCGCATGCGCAACAGAGCTTCCCATGCAGCACTCGAAGTTTTGTCATCGGCCATTTTCGACCATCTTTGCGCGGACAATGGTGTCTGCGCATCCTCTGATGCTGAAGAGGCTCAAAACTGAAGAGGCTCAGGGCTGTAGCTTGCAAGAAACTCCCGCCCCAGCGGTCCTTCATAATGGCCTCACAAGGGCTTCTCCAGCTTCATGGACAAGGCCGCATGGTCGCATCGGCATGAGTCACCGGGTCCGATGACGACGGCAACCTCGTCTCCCATCTGAACATCCATACTGGGCAGGACGTAAGGGTTGTCGGTATTCATGGTCGCCTGAGTCCTGCAAGTCAACGGAGGACAAGAGCACAGGGCTAGGGAGGTTGGGGGGAGGGGGGAGGGGGAGGCGCCAGCCCAGTGACCGGCAACAATTTGAACCGCTGGGCCTGTGAGCTTCCTCGTTGGAGTTCTTGTAGACCCAGAGCTCAATGCCACCACAGCGAGCCACTCCGAGCGGGCGGAGGAGGCCCGTGACCGTGGCCGCAGTGTGGGCCACGAACTTCACGACAAGGAAAGGCTCCGATTCGCCGGGGCAGCCGGGATGCACGGCGATAGACGTCTCGCCTGCCTCGCCCACGGGGAAGATAGGATCTGCCACCAAGACGCTGCTGCCGGTGGAGACGGCTGGCAGGTCTGCCAGGCCGCCCTTCTTCACGAAGGCATTGCCCAGCCTCATGGACCGCGCCTCAGTGGTGAAGACCAGTGGAGAGGACGCCGCGTGCACCTGGTGGCTGGCAGCCGCCGCGAAGGACCAATCACCCAAGCCATGGCTCGCAGGGATCTTGGCCGGGTGGCCTTCCTGCCAGGCCTTATGGCGCATCTCCCAGAGGGACCAGGCATGGCTGTCCCAAAGCTCGGCGTACTTCTGCAAGAAGATGTCGCCGACCCCTGAGTGCTTCCTGGCGTCCAAGGTGTCTCCTGCCACGTAGACCACGCCGGATTTGTCGACTTGCATAGAAGTCACGGCATCCGAGCCCACCGACCCACTCTGCGTGGTCCACTGCCAGTCCCCGCTACCAGTGAACTTCATCACCACCACGTCCTCCTGTCCGTCGCTTAAGTGGCCGTCCATGTCTCCCGCTGTAAATCCGGCCAAGAAGACGTCCTTGCCCATGACCTGCAGCTTGGTCACCCCATCCGCGGCATCCGTTCCCTTCTGCACCAACCAGCTCTGGGAGCCGTCGGCGCCAGACACCTCGGCCAGAAGTCCGCCCCGGAACTCTGCCCGAACTTTTCGCCCCACCTTCTCTGATACTTATAAGTACTTATGGCAAGCACACGACAGCTCGCGCGAGCTCCCTCTTGCTGCGTGCCTTGCCCAGGAAGAGGTCGGAGTCTCCTACAGGCAACGACTCGGCATCTGCAAGCCGCTGCAACCCCCCCCTTGGCCCTCCCCATCTCCTGCATTCTTCATGCCCGGAAAGGAGCCCCAGGTCTTCCCGGCCAACACAACATCGCCTGAATCGTCCACCTCAAGGGTGCCAGATGGCTTATGGGCAGCTATGGGCGGGTATGGACAGGAAAGGCAAGAAAGTCGGAAACAGACAATTCAGGAAGCAAAACGCCCTGCTATCGGGGAGGGGCGGGAGGGGAGGGGCGGGAGGGGAGGGAGAGGGGAGGGGAGGGGAGGGGAGGGGAGGGGAGGGGAGGGGAGGGGAGGGGAGGGAGCTGGATTCGTCACTCCCGCAGCATGGTGCACTTTGGCGCCAGGAAAACTTTGCACAGGGAAGTGCTTAGCTTGGCATGAGGGTTAGGGCTTAGGGTTTAGGGTTTAGGGTTTAGAGTTTAGGGTTTAGGGGGTTTGGGGTTTGGGGTTTGGGGTTTGGGGTTTGGGGTTTGGGGTTTGGGGTTTGGGGTTATGCGTCTTTGTCCTCCCACCTCCATGCCGTAGAGGTGGTCTAGGTCTGCTGTGCCCAGCTGCTTGCTCCAAGCTAATGCTCCTTGCAAGGCAGCATGCAGCAAAATGGGGTGAGGTCTCACACTAATCAACCAGGGATCCAGCATTTAGAAAATTTTTCGGGGAGAACAAGATAGAGTAGGATAAGAGCCCTGCAGGGTCTTGGTTCGCAAGGCTTCAAAAAAAAATCAGCATTTCTGCCCTTTATTTCGCAGGCTCCGAGGCCGTAAATCCTTTCTGCCTCGTCGCGGCTTCAAAACTGTAAAACGGTCCAAAACACATCATTTCTGCCTCTTCGCAGTCTTACAGCAAGTTCTGGCTATTTGCCTGCAATGCGCAGTCAATTACAGCATTCGCACGGTCCAAATACGGCAGCTAGCAGCATTGACAAATCCAAAGCCAAGCCACATTTGCGGCAGGATTGGGAAAACTTTGAAATAGGCAGAAATGCTGTCTCTTACAGCGCTTGCCGTCTGCGAACGAGCAGAAATGCCGTGATTTGGAGCACGTGATTGGGCAGAAATGCAGTATCTGACTGTACTTGGCGGCCTTCCTTGCTTCCTCCCTTCCTGCCCTCCGTCCTTTCTCCCTTTCCTGTCCTACTTTCCTTCTTCCTGACTTCCGAAGGATTTGATTCTTGGTGATCGCTTTTTGAACTTTCTATTGATCCCTATTCGTCTTATTGATCTCTATACTTTTTGGTTTGTTTGATCCCTCGTTGATTCTGTTTCGATCCCGACCCCCAGCAACATACAGCATGACGCAAAGCTTCGTGTGATCTATCAGCTGTGGCTTCTCCTTTGCTGTCGTACTTGGACACGAAGATGTCAACGCCGCCGAGATTGCTTGCCGAGTTGAAGGCACCGGTGGTGTCTCCGGCCAGGAAGACATTCTCGCTCGCGTCCACACGCAAGTGACTGGGGTGGTCCAGACCCTTCGATCCTGTCTGCACCTGCCACTGCTTCGCACCGCTGCCGTCATACTTCAGAAGGAAGATCTTGCCAGAAGAGTCTGTTGATTCACCTTTACTCAACTGACCCCAAGTCTTCCCGACCATGTAGACGTTGCCGGACTGCAGCTGCATCTGGTAAAGGTGATCAGTTGCGGGAGACCCTTCCTGGCTAACCCACACCACCTGGCCATCTGCATCCAGCTTCATTGCAAAGACATCTGCTCCACCCTTGTTCGTCTGCCCCTCGAAGGCGCCAAGCGTCTTGCCGGCCAGATAAATACCGGAGGCATCTACCTTTACTTGGTACGCGAAGTCATCGCTGCTTGTACCCAAAGTCTTGGTCCACAGCACCTGGCCCTTCGTGTCCAGCTTCAGCACGAAGACATCCCTTCCCCCGTGTTGAATGCCATTCCATGCACCGTCGGTGTCACCCACCACAATGACATTGCCAAAGGAGTCCATCTCCATGGCTTGCATCAGGTCAAAGCCATCCAAGGATCCTTTCTGGACGGTCCACAAGGGTGAGCCGCCGTTCGTGTACTTCGTGATGAAGATGTCCGAACCTCCATGGTACGGTTGGCCTCGTACGTGCCCTTTGGTGGTCCCGCCCAGGAAAACGTCACCCAAGAAGTCCATCTTCACATCCACCGTTGAATCGATTCCAAAAGAGCCATCGCTCTTGACCCACTCTGTTCCATAGACGAAGCTTTGCCAACGGTCCTCGAATGGAAAGGACACGTCCTCCATCAGACATAGCTGCCCTGAGGCCCAAGTCTTAGAGTGCTTCTGGAAGAGCGGCTCGATCACATCGTATTTCGACTTGTCTGCAGCTTGCCATGCGGACGCGCTGCGGCAATGCTTCGCAGCCTGGCCCTGTGGGGCAGTGCCATTCGGCAGCTCGGCCAGCATCATCACGTGGCCCAGGGATGGGTCAGAGCTTGTGCTGAAACTGCACAGGACGGAAGTCGAGAAGCCGTCTCCGAGGGCGGAGGCACTGGGGAACTCGGCCCAAATCTCAACCTCCTGTATCGAAGTGCCTGTCTGCGGGGTGATGCGGATGGAGCGGGCTGTGATTGCGGACTTCAGCGTCCACGTTTGCGAAGTCACGCCGGTACTTCCTGCTGAGATTTCCATTGGCTTGGACCACATGTCGCGCCTACCATCTTGCGTTGCTTCTGCATGGGCAAATTCCACGAAAAAGGACAAGTGGACGTCCTTGAAGGTGATTGATCGGATGGGCACTGCCACTGGCAGAATGATGTCCACTCCCTTCTCACCGCTCTCGTCCACTGCACGCCATTCGGTTGTCTCGCTCCCGTCAAGGATGCTGCCCGCATCGCTGTGATCGCTGGGCATCCAGATCCTGAGGGGTGTCATCCACATGACGTCATGGACTGTCTTAAGCACATGCCATTGCTTCTACGGCACACCCTTAACGGCAACAGCAGAGCTCTGACAGAGGCCCGGGCCTCTTCTCTTCGGGTGCCAGGCCGGCAGCGCGAGTCCACGCGATGGCCGTGGCGCCGAACTGGTGGCTTGCCAGGTAGGTGTCCTCCGCGGGCTTGGCTTCAGCAACCAGCGCGTTGTCTGCCTCGAAGGGTAGAACTAGGGACATGGCAACGCCCTCGGCCGGCCGGATGGGATAGATGCCATCCTGCAACTGGATGCCAAGCTGGGCGGCGTGCTCGAAGAGCTCATAGCAGCTGCTCACGTCGGCCCCGAAGTTGCAGAAGACCTCATTCCCCTTTCCGAGCATGTGCTTGCCTGGGGCGGCAACGCCACTGTTGCGCTGGGCAACCGGGTTCGTTCGCACGGCAGTCTTAATATGAAGTGATATGTAGAAAAACATATCGACAAAGTCGGGGCGGTACGCGCATTCTGTGCAATTTCATGCCAGCCGTATTAAGATGTGCCAAAGGCTCATACCTGTGCTGACCTGGCCACTGGCAACCCAACACCTCCTCAGCATATGCTCTCTTTTTTCAAACCAAGCGGCCGGGCTTAAAGAGAGGCCGAATTCCCTGCAAATCCTGGCAGGTTCGGCGGGCCGTCCGGCAGTCGGCCGAGCACAGGTCGTCCTCCACCTAAGCAGACTGCGCCCTTGAGTTTACCCAATTGCAATGCGTGTCGTTGAGGTTCTGAAGCAAGTTTAAGAGTTTGTTCATGAGTTTTTTGGCCAACTAACTATAGGGTGAGCAAGCAACATTGAGTTGAGGACGGCTTTGTTTCCTGTCTTTGGCAAAGCTCTCATCTGGCACGCTGGAACCTGTTCCACACCCTCCTTGGGCCCGCAGAGCTCTTCTTGTCCAAGCAGCGAGGTGGTGGACCGTGTGAAGGCATCTTGATGCGAATGTCCCGGGAATTTCTAGCCGACTGAACGAACCTTCGCCGCACTTTTGTCGGGCCACACCGCCGTGCAGCTTCGCTGCAAAATTTTGGCCACGAAGCTAAGGGCACCAAGGTGCCGTGTTTCGAGCCCCTCAACATGAAACCCACTATGACGCGCCGAAAGGCCACGAAACGAGAAGCCTACCTCGAGGCATCGAGATTTCTTTTCAGCACGGCGCTCAAAAGGACTTCGATTGCCCAGGGCAAGGCAGCTGCTCCGATTTGCACAATGCCCTGGAAGCTCATGTTTACTCAGCAGTAGGGTTGTAGGTAGGGTGTCTATGGCTATAACAAGTTGTAACCTGATTAAGGGTACTTGCCGACATAAAGTTACCCATGAACCTCCAAGCATCCTAGGACAGGTCAGCACAAAACTCACGTTTCACCAGGGTTATCCATCAAACACACAAGGAGTCGCCATTGCATTCGCTGTCCGCTACGCGCGCTCTAGCTTCTGAATCTCTTCTGATTATCGAATTGGATTTTGGGAACTGCGCCGCTGCACTTTGCAAGATCGAGGCCCCATGCATAATGATTTGAACTCGTCCAAGGCTCTCCAGTTCCCGTGGAGCCATCCAGCGCTACACTGCGTGTCAACAGCAACCATCAGTTCGCCAACCGTGAACAGAAGAAGTGTCATCATGAAGGTGGGTGCAGGCCAGGGTGGGGTGGGGTGAATGCGGGATGAGCTGTTCTGCTTTGTACCCGTTGCAGCTTCAGAAAACTGTTGGCTTACATCACCCCCCGTGGAGCAACATCACCGGCAGCAAGGCATCAACAATCGCAGCTCAGCATGAACAATGCTGAAAGTGCTGAAAAGCCCCCACCAAACACTTGGTGGATCTTGCTCTCACAAATACTGAGGCCTCTTTCCATCCCGACAATGCCTAAACCCTAAACCCTAATCCCTATTGCCTAAACCCTAAACCCTAATTGCAGCTAAGGCCACCGTGTTGCCGTCGTCGCAGGTCTCGTCGCCCACGACGATGCCATCACCGCAAATCTCGAAGCACTTGCCATCTGCACCTGAGGACTTGGAGGATTCTCGCAGCCCCTGCCCCTAACTTCAGCCATCTTCAGCCACTGGTTACACTTGGGCGCGTGCACATACACTCGCAGACAGCAAACGAATCGTCAGATGGAGGTGATTCAATGATCCCGCAGAAGAGACGACGTGCCAAGTGCACAATCCTCCTCGACCCTAGTCTCTGCTGGCGGGGCGCAGGACCATCCCTCCATGATCTTGCAGCTGGCATCGCATCCTGGCTGCGGCGGGTCGCACTCCTGCGCAATGGGTTCGGTGGCTACAGGATTTGGGGATGGATTGCATCTTGCCTCATGAAATCACTTCAAGCTCGCTTGGTGTGGCTTCGCATGGTCTTTTGTGGAACTTGTGAATCCCCTCTCCTCATTGCCGGAAGTGCTGTTGTCGCCGCACACCATGGCGAACACTCCGTCTTGAGTTTGCTCCGAGCACTTCTCAAAGTCGGTCTGATAGGTCATGGCATGCGACCGCCGACCATACACGAAGAGCTCGGCAGCAACGTTGTCGACCATGTTGTGGCCGCTGTAGCTTTGCACCAGCCACGGTGCTTTGGTACAGCTCGAGTTTGCCTCAAGCTCTGAAGACAGTCAAAGAAATGGCACGAACATGCAAGTCATGTCAAAACACCGTTGCGCACAGATAGACATGCGACTGTGACGAATGCAACATGTCGCTCAGGGTCCACCTGTCTCAGGCCACGCAGCGCATCTGCACAACATGGT